ACAGAGAATCATTGATTGGCTGTCTCCTACATACCCCCTACTGGGGATCAAACCAGAAACCGGGCACGTGCCCTCACCAAGAATTGAACCATTACCTCCTGGTTTATAGGTTGATGCTCAACTGCCGGAAGCCAGTTCCAGCATGTCATAATTGCAAGAGTTTCATCAAAAGGTTGATGGAACTTGGGGACTCAACAAGGGCTGAGTCACATATGTTATTGCTTGTTGGGAATGGCTAAAGGCATTTCCCCAAACCTGAAAAGGATGCATTAAATTGATTGTTTGCTGCCAGACAGCTCAGGGCATCTTAATCTACATGTTGTTGCCTCCTACTGGCCAAACACCTAAACAGCTGCAGGCAATTCCCTGTTCTGACAATGGGACTCAGTAGACAAAACCCTATCCTTTGAAGTGTATATCTCCACCTTGCCTTGGGACAAATTGTGTTAACAAAAAGCAAGGGGACCTGAGACAAGGAGAACTTAGTTTCTTTAACTAGACTCCTCTGACCCCCAATGCCTTTTGAAATTATCTTTTGTCTCTGGACGCTTACTTAAGTTACACACATCCTTTCTCCAAATTGTTGAACTCTTCTTAATGCTGGACAAGAACCCCGGCTCTCAACCACTGAGCCAAATCAGCCAAGCAAGTGAGCTTCTTTTGCTCAAGAAAAACTCAGGATGTTATTAGAAGGTACTTACTTGCAACTAGTAGATAAATATATCTTAAAAATCTAACACACATATAGTAATTATAGACAACAAAACTGCATTATAAGCATTAAACTTGCTTAGAGACTAGATCCTAATTGTTCTCACCACTGAAAGAAATGATTCATTATGTGACATGACAGTGCAACATGGCAATTTTGTTGTAACATAAATTTATCAAATCACTAGGTTATACAAGTATACTTTGGAGATATTGGCAGTTTTGTTCCAGACCATGGCAATAAAGTGAATATCACAATTAAATGAGTCATCTGCAATGTTTGCTATCCAAGTCCATGTAAAAGTTATATTTACACAATACTGTAGTCTATTAAATGTGCACTCACATTATGTCTTAAAAATGTACATACCGCTGAGACCGGTTTGGCTCAATGGATAGAGCGTCAGCTTGGGGACTGAAGGGTCCCGGGTTCGATTCCGGTCAAGGGCATGTACCTTGGTTGTGGGCATATCCCCAGTAGGGGATGTGCAAGAGGCAGCTGATCGATGACTCTCTCTCATCGATGTTTCTAACTCTCTATCTTTCTTCCTTCCTCTCTGTACAAAATCAATAAAATATATTTTTAATAAATAAATAAATAAATAAAAATAAATTTTAAAAAATAAAAATGTACATACCTTAATTTAAAATACTTTATTGCTAAAAATAAAGTGCCCATCTTTATTCATCAATCAGACTAAGAAAATAATCCTGTGTGCAATTGTATTTTTTTAAATACTGAAGAATAAATTTAACCAAGATGGTAAAAGACCTGTACTCGGAAATGTATAAGAATCTGAAGAAGATACAAATAAAAGAGAGACCCAAGATGGTGGCCTAGGTAAACACAGGTAATTTCCACCTCCCACAACCACATCAAAATTACAACTAAAATACAGAACAACCATCATTCAGAACTGCCTGAAATCTGGCTGAATGGAAATCCTCAACTAGAGAAGTAAAGAAAGCACACTACCAGTAGAGACTGGTAGGAGAGTGGATGCCTGGAACAGGCTTATCCAACACCCATACGTGGCGTTTTTGTCAATTGGGAGGTATATCTCTGCTGCAAAGGACTCCCTTTAGGCGTAAGGGGTCCCAACCCTCACCAGCTCTCCAGCCCATAGTTTCAGAGATGGAAAGAGAAGTCCTCATAACTTCGGGCTGGGAAAGTGGCTGAGTGACACAGAAGCAATTGGAGCCTCAGGCAGTTCCTCTTAAAGAACCAGCACTTGAACTTACATGGACTCACTCCCTCTGAGCTCCAGAGCTGGGGCAGCATATTGAGGGGGTTCAGGGGCATACGGAGAGGAACTAGATTGTCTAACATCAGAACAAGACCTCAGGAGAGGCTTTCTCCCAGACAAGGGTGCTCACAGGGGTCATTGTTCCCACACTGAGACCTCACCCATTGCAGAGATGACAGCCATATCTGAGTTTCCATCAGCCGAGCTCACACTGTTTGCCCCACCCTGTTAATTCCCTGAGACTCCGCCCATGCAATTTGTAGCCACACCCAAGCTGTTTGCAGCAGCCTTTCTGTATGAATGACCTATCCTGGCTCAGGCTTTCAGACTTTCCTAAAATCTCTCAAATAAGCAGTAGTTGCTGTCAGCGTGCCCCATGCCTATCAATAAGTGGCCCAAAACAGCTTGGCCTTGCCTGGGCGCTTCTAAGCCCAACACAAGTAACAATCATCTGCAGATATCTCTGTGGTTCCTACTGGTTCTACCCCAAACAGTGACTGACTTTTCACCTCCTAGGAGGCCCCAGAGCCAGTGCTCCCGGTGGACAGCTTCAGACCACAGTAGATTATAACTCTACACATCCACAAGCGTCACACTCAAGGGGCAGACTCAGTGAGCACCAAAGCCCCATTGAAGCAAGTCCTGGCCTATAGGGGTGTTTCCCGCACAGTAGCTCTCCCACTGTAGTTGCAACTGGTCCTCACAGCCAATTGGCCTGGAGGCCAGTTCCTCCCAGTGACTCCAATAGCAATCAAGGCTCAACTACAATAAGACTGTGCTCCAAGCCCACACAGGGTTGCACCTAGAGCGCCTAGCTCAGGGGACTGGGGAGGCTATGCCACTGGGCCCTACAAGACACCTACTATACAAGGCCAATTCCAGGAGACATTCCGTAGCAGCTCTACCTAATGTGCAGCAACAAAGAAGCAGCCAAAATGCAGAAACAAAGAAACATATCACAAATGAAAGAACAGAAGAACTCTCCAGAAAAAGAACTAAATGAAATGGTAGCAAGCAAACTACTAGGTCAGCGGTCACCAACCTTTCAGACCTCACTAACCACCAGTGGTCCGAGGACCACCAGTTGGCAACCTCTGTACCAGATATAGAGTTCAAAACAATGGTTATTAGGTTGCTCGGGGATCTTAATGAGAGCTTCAAGGGACTTAGTGAGACTTTCAAGGATCTCAGTGAGAATTTCAAAGACGTGAAAAAGGACCAGTCAGAAATGAAGGATGCACTGACTGAAATAAATAAGAATTTACAGGGCTTCTATAGGAGAGTAGAGGATTCTGATAATCAAATAAATAATTTGGAATATGAGAAAGCAAGAAAACACCCAATCAGAAGAGCAAAAAGAAAAAAGAATCCCCAAATATGAAGATAGTGTAGGAGCCTCTCAGACAACTTCAAGTGTAACAACATTCACATTATGAAGATACCAGAAGGAGGAGAGAGAGAGAGAGAGAGAGAGAGAGAGAGAGAGAGAGAGAGAGAGGAGTAAAATATTGAAAATGTTTTTGAAAAATTAATGACAGAAAACTTCCTATACCTGGTGAAAGAAGCAGACTTACAACTTCAGGAATTTCAGAGAGTCCCAAAAAAGAGGAACCCAAAGAGGATCCCACCAAGACACATAATTAAAATTCCAAAAGTTGTAGGGGAGGTTGGGGGAAGGTCAATTGGTAGGGAGTGGGGGGGGGGGGGGAAGAAAGGAGGCATATGTGCTACTATTTGTAATACTTTAAACAATAAAATAAAATATAAAAATAAATAAAATCCCAAAAGTTAAAGACAAAGAGAGAATTTTTTAAAAAAGAGCAACAGAAAAGCAGTTAGTAAGAAGGGGGGAAAAAGATCAAATATATGAAAAATAAAATGGCAATAAGTACATATCAATCAACAATTGAATCTAAAAATAAACAAACAAGGCATCTAATGAACAAAATAAAATGCTGAATAAAATAGAACCAGAGGCATAGAAACATGGAACAGACTGATAAATCTCAGAGGGAAGGGGGAGGAGCAAGAAGAGATTAACCAATGAACTTCTTTGCATATTTACCTATGGAAACAGATAATAGGGTGGTGAAGGCCTGGGGTAGGATGGGAACTGGGTAGAAGGGGGCAATGGGGAGTAAAAAGAGGAGCATCTTGCAGAAACTAGTTTGGCTCAGTGGATAGAGCCTCAGCCTGTGGACTGAATGGTCCTGGGTTCAGTTCTGGTCAAGGGCATGTATCTTGGTTGTGGGCACATCCCCATAGGTGTTTGTGCAAGAGGCAGCTGATTGATGTTCCTCTCTCATCAATGTTTCTCTCTATACCTCTCTCTTCTGCTCTGTAAAAAAATCAATAAGATATATTTTTTTAAAATAAAAGAAAAGAAGATACAAATAAATGAAAGTATATAGCATGCTCATAGATAGAAAGAATTAACTTCATTAATATGACCATACTACCCAAAGAAGTCTATAATCCCTATCAAGGCACCATCGGCGTTTTTCATAGAACTAGGACAAATATTCCAAAAATATATGTGGAGCCACAAAAGACCCAGAATGGCCAAAGCAATATGGAGAAAAAAGAACAAAGTTGGAGGTATCATTCTACATAATATAAAAGTATACTACACGGCATATTAATCAAAATCGCGTAGTATTGGCATAAAAACAGACATATAGATCAATGGAAAAAAGAGAGAGAGCCCAGAAATAAACCAAATGGTCAATTAATATGTGACAGAAGATGCAAAAAAGATACAGAGGGTTAAAGACAATCTATTCAATAAATGGTGTAGGGGAAACTGAACAGATATATGCCAAAAAATAAATTAGACTACTTTTTTACATCATATATAAGAATAAACTTAAAATGAATTTAAGATTTATTGATATATGTAAGATATAAAACTTTTTTAAAATAGGCTGTAAACTCTCTGATATTAATTGTAGCAATATTTTTTCTGATATATCTCCTCAGGCAAGGGAAACAAAATATAAAAAATAAACAAATGGGACTATATCAAACTAAAAAGGTTTTTCAGTGCTCGCTTTGGCAGCACATATACAAAAATTGGAACAATACAAAAAAGATTAGCATGGCCTCTGTGCAAGGAAAACACACAAATTCATGAAACATTCCTTATTAAAAAAAAAAAAAAAAAAAAAAAAAAAAAGTTTTTCACAGTAAATAAAACCATCAACACAATGAAAAAACAACCCACTACATGAGAGAACATATTCACCAATGATACATCTGATAAGGATTTAATATACAAAATTTATTTTTAAAAAAACACTTATAAAACTCAACACACACACACACACACACACACACACAAAAAGATCCAATTTAAAAATGGGCAGAGGCTCTGAATACACACTTCTCCAAAGAGATCATACACCAAGACTACTCTCTGTGCTTCCTGGACTTGTAAATCTATTTCTTTCACCAAGTATGGGAAATATTCTGTCACTATTTCTCCAAATAGGTTTTCAATATCTTGCTCTCTCTCTCTTCTCCTTCTGGCACCCCCAGTAGTGTGAATGTTGGTACACTTGAAGTTGTCCCAGAGACTCCTTACACTATCTTCATATTTGGGGATTCTTTTTTCTTTTTGCTTTTCTGATTGGGTGGCTTTTGCTTCCTCATATTTGAAATCATTGATTTGATTCTCGGAATCTTCTAATCTACTGTGGAATCCCTGTAAACTCTTCTTAATTTCAGTTAGTGTGTGCTTAATTTCTGATTGGCCCTTTTTCGTGTCTTTGAAATTCTCACTAAGATCCTTGAAATTCTTGCTAAAATCTTTGAAGATCTCACTAAGTCCCTTGAAGCTCTCCTTAAATCCCTTGAAGTTCTCATTAAGATCTTTGAGCAACCTAATAACCATTGTTTTGAACTCTGTATCCATGCTTCCATTTCTTTCTTCGAGACATACATGTTTCTTTGTCTCTGCATTTTAGCTGCTTCCCTCTGTTTGTTTCTACACATTAGGTAGAGCTGCTATGTCTCCTGGAATTGGTAGAGTGGCCTTGTGTAATAAGTATCTTGTAGGGCCCAGTGGCTTAGAATCCTCAGTCACCTGATCTGGGCACTCTAGGTGTGCCCCTGTGTGGGCTGTGTGCAAAGTCTTGTTGTAGTTGAGCCTTGATTGCAATTGGAGTCACTGGGAGAAATTGGCCTGGAGGACCAGCTGCAACTACAGTGGGAGAGCTACTGTGCAGGAAACAGCCTTATAGACCAGGACTTGCTTCAGTGGGGCTTTGGTGCTCACTGAGTCTGCCCCTTGAGTGTGACGCTTGTGGATGTGTAGAGTTGTAATCCGCTGTGGTCTGAAGCTGTCCACCAGGAGCCCTGGCTCTGGGGCCTCCTAGGAGGTGCAAAGTCAGCCATTGTTTGGGGCCATGCAGCAGAAGCTACAGAATGATCTTCAGATGTCTGCTATTTGTATTGGGCTTGGAAGCCTCCAGGCATGACCCAGCTGTGAAATAAGGTAGACTGGTGCTAGTGCCAGGTCATGGGCCTCTTATTGATATGTATGGGGCATGCTGATGTCAGCTGCTGATTGTTTAAGAGATTTTAGGAAAGTCTGAAGCCTGAACCAGGACAAGTCATTCGTATGAAAAAGCCACTGCAATCAGCTTGGATGCAGCTGCAAATTGAATGGGGTGGGGCCTCAGGGAATCACCAGGCAAACAGTATAAGCCAGGCTGATGGAAACTCAGATATGGCTACCAGTCAGCTCTGTGGCAGGGGAGGTCTCAGCACAGGAACAATGACCCATGTAAGCACCCCCATCAGGGAGAAAGCCACCCCCGAGTTTCTGCCCCCATGCCAGACAATCCAGTCCCTCTCTGAATGTCCTAAGTTCCTTTCAAGCCTCTGCCCCAGCACTGGAGTCCAGAAGTATCGAATCCAAGTAATTCATGTGCCAGGCCTTTAAGAGGAACTCCCTGGGTCTCCAGCAGCCTCCGTGTCACTCAGCCACAATCCCTTCTGGTTTTCACAGCCCGAAGTTACAGGGACCTCTCTTCCCAGTACTGAAACCCTGTGCTATGGGGTCTGGTGTGAGTCTGGGACTCCTAGCACCTCACAAAGGCCTCTGCAGTCACAATCTCTCTCCCGATTTAAAAACAAAACAAAACAAACAAAAAAAACCATCAACTCAATGTCGGACTAGCCATTCTGCACCTCTGCCCCTCTTACCAGTCTCTCTGTGCTTTCTTCTTTACTTTTCTAGTTGTAGGACTCCCATTCTGCTAGATTTCAGGTGGTTCTGAATGATGGTTGCTCTGTGTTTTACTTGTAATTTTGATGTGGTTGTGGGAGACAGTGTTTACTTATGCTGCCACCTTGATTCCCTCTAGTCATTTCTCTGTTCAAAATCTATATAATTTTATTAACCAATGTCGCCCCAGTAAATTCAGTAAAAATTTAAATAAATAAGTAAGTAAGATGAGGTATTCCTGTATTCCTTAAACTGACACAATGTTATATGTCAACTGTGGCTCAATTTTTGTAATGGTTTAAAAAAAAAAAAACAGGAGTAAATTTGAAAGCTTAAAACTTATTTTGTTTTGTTAATTGCAAGAGAGTCTCACCTTCAGAGAACTGACTCTCAAAAATAAGATTTGAGCCAAAGCCGGTTTGGCTCAGCGGTAGAGCGTCAGTCTGCGGACTGAAGGGTCCCGGGTTCGATTCCGGTCAAGGGCATGTACATTGGTTGCAGGCACATCCCCGGTGAGGGGTGTGCAGGAGGCAGCTGGTCGATGTTTCTCTCTCATCAACGTTTCTGGCTCTCTATCTCTCTCCCTTCCTCTCTGTCTCTGTAAAAAAAATCAATAAAATATATTTTAAAAAAATAAAAATAAAAATAAGATTTGATGCATATGAGCATGACCAATGGACACAGACAATAGCGGGGTGGGGACACGTGCTGGGGAGCAGGAGCGGGCAGGGAGAGGTCAATGGGGGGAAAAGGAGACATATGTAATACGTTCAACAATAAATAACAATAATAATAATGTACATATATTTAAAAGCTAAACCCACAACATTTGGTTATTATGTTCAAGGTTCTAATTGGTGGAGGAAAAATAGTAGTTCCTCGCTGTGGTCTTGTGTAGGTGCCAGAACTGAAAAATATCAGCAAAACAGGTATATTGTCTTCTTTTAAGAAGTCAGCAACATATGGGCCTGTATTCATTATCTAGTGCTATGAAAAAATGATCCAAAAACTCAGTGGCTTGAAACAACATTTATTATCTCTCAGTGCTCTTACAAAGCTGAAGTCAAGGTAGCAGGTGGGGCTGTGGTCTCATTGGAAAGTTTGACTGGGAGAGGCTGCTCTTCCAGCCACATTCACAAGGTTGTGGCAGGATTCAGGTCTTCACAGGCTGTTGGCCAGAGACTGCCCTCCATTCCTTCCACATAGGCCTCCCCAACATGCAGCTCATGTCCTCAACAAGTGAAAACCAAGGCAAACAAGGAGATGATCTTGAAGACAAGAGTTCAGCATTCTCCCAAGAGTCACCTGAATAAACCACTTTCCTTTTGCACCAGAATAAAAATAAATAAATAAATAAAAGACAAATGAGACAAGCCAGGGAGAGAACACAGCAGAAGTCATAGGCTTCTTGTAATCTAACTTCAGAAGAGACACCAGGTAAATAGAAGGGACACTTCTAATGAAAGACTCAGTAAAATATAACCTGAAACAATGGAACAGACATCAATACATTAGTGGAGAGAGAAAAAGAACCAGTAACCAGAAGGCTTAGTGAGGATAAATACCAGATGGAGAGGCTCAGCTTGAACAAAGGGGTCATATTGATTGAAAGAGTGGTCCTTATGTGATGAGAATTAGATTCTGTATGGATCAGCTGCTCTCATAAGGAAAGAGTAATGAGACCTAGCCAGTTTGATTCAATAGTTAGAACATGAGCCTCCAGTCTGAAAGGTCATGAGTTTGATTCCAGTCAAGGGCAGATACCTTGGTTGCAGGCTTGATCCTCAATTCTGATCAGGGTGCATGTGGGAGGCAACCAGTCAATGTGTCCCTCTCACATCAATGTTTCTCTTTCTCTCTGTCTCTCCCCCTCCCTTCCATTTTTCTCTTTTAAAAAATCAATGGTAAAAAAATATCCTCTGGTGAGGATTAGCAAAACAAAAAATAAATAATAAAAGAATAATTAATTCCGGTTCAGCCTCCAGGGGCTTACTCAGTTAGAAGTTCTATTTTCAGAAGCAGAGGATAAGCCCATGATTTAATCTCACCATGTAAAATCTAGTAAGTGGTTGAAAGAAGGTGAAGGGATCAGCCAAAGAACATATATTCATAACTCATAGACACAGACAGCAGTGTGGTGATGACCAGAGGGAAGGGGGTGAGGGCTAGGTGGAGGTGGGAAAAGAGTGGGGAGAGGGAGAAATGGGGACATCTATAAACATCAACAACAAAAAATAAAGTTTAAAAATAAAATCTGGTAAATATATTTATCAAACAAACAAAAAAGTACATCACTAGGTCCAGTCCACACTCAAGGTGAGCGGGTCACACAAAGGGAGTGAGAATACCAGAAGATGGGACCATAGAGAGCCATGTTAGAAGCTGCCTACCACAGGGCCCAATACTTAATCTATTTAGTGTTTAGTGTTAAGCAAAACTATTGAGCGATTTACGAAAAGACCAGATATACTTTTTTGTGTAGTTTTCTCAGGAGGCAAGAGATTTTCTAAGTGTCATGTGTGATATGCATGTTTAGCCATGATGAGAATTTGGATAACTTAAGGTGGACTTAAAGTTTTACTTATCTACTTCCTTCTTCTCTTTTTCTACTTCCTTCTTCCTTTTCCACTATCCTCCATGACTTCTGGCTTTGCTCCTGGAGGGTCTTCCTTGTTCATTCCTCTCCAAAAATATGTATTAGGTGGGCATAAGAGATGAAACCTTTGGGGAGGGAGGGTTGACTTCCTCCTAGGATAGATTTAGAGACAGATATTTCAAGATTTGAACAATCATAGGCAATTATATTGTAATCCATTTTCAGTAGCAATTTTCCACCGAGGCACCTTTTTATACACTGGCTGGTATTCTATCTCACTCATTTGTTTCCACCGCTTTGCTCACCCATTTCTGAACATGAAAACAGGTTTTTTACTTCCTTTCAAGAGTAAGCACAATTGCCATTTCTGCTAGTTCATGATAATTAGTCTTTTATCTTCATCTCGTGCCTCATTAATAGCACAACAGCCATCACTGATTGCTATTAAATCAGGGCATCCCTCAGTATTGTGAACCAGGTCCCTCCCAGGAGACTGGGCTCAGTCCATTGGTAGTATCAGTTCATGGCCACCTCCATCCTCTCTTTCCTTCACCCTCATCATGAAGAAGACATGCAGTGCACTCACCACACAGCTTCTAAAACATCAGCTGGATGACCAGAGCCAATCTTCCTGTGAAAAGTGAAGAGGCAGGTGTCCTGAGTGTGGCAGGGCCTTGTCCAGGTCACCAACCAGCTAGTAAAGACTCTTAATTAAGAGTCTGCAGCTGCTGTCCAGGTCATGGATGTTGGCCATCTCAACTGGGAAGTGATGTTGAAGAGAAAATAATTAATCCAAGAGGTATTTAGGAAGTAATTTAGAATTCTTTCTAAATAACAGATACTTTTTCAAGTACTTTGAACTCTTGACAACACTCATTAAGGTTGAATTCCTATCTCTTCTTTACGGAACAAGAGCACTGAGTGACAAAGAGTTTTATAATTCAGGTCACTGAGGTTCGGCACCCAACCCAAACGTTCTGATTCTGAAGCCTGTGTCTTTCACCATCATGCTATCGTGCTCAATTATCTGCTTGCCATACAGTGAAGGTTGCCCACTTATTTACATGCCTTCCACCTGTACTCACTTACACACGTACACACAATCATACACAAATACACCCACATCTATAGTAAATTGGTAGATGGGAACAACTGAGACATAGATAGATACCCCCAGAGTGGACCAGGCCAGAAAATGCCAGATCAAATAAATAAATAAATAAATAAATAAATAGCTACTCTCTCTGGCCCAAATGGAAACCCCTTATCCATTAAACAGTCCATCAGTCCTTGCAACCATGACTCTGGATTCATTCTGTCTCTATAGATCAGTCTATTCTTATTCACAATAACCAAAAGGTGGAAGCGACACAAATGTCTATCAATGCTACGAAAAATGTCTGCTATTTTGCTGCCTGTGGCTTCTTCTAAGATTTTTATGGTTTCCCACCTTATGTTTCAGTCCTTTATCCATTTTAAGTTTATTTTTGTGTATAGTGTAAGTTGGTGGTCTAGTTTCACTTTCTTTTTTTGCAAGTATCTGTCCAGTTTTCCCAACACCATTTATTGAAGAGACTGTCTTGAATCCATTGTATGGTCTTGCCTTGTTTGTCAAATATTAATTGTGCATAATGCCTTGTGGCCGTTTCTGGGTTCTCTGCTCTGTTCCACTGGTCTATATGTCTTTCTTGTGCCAATTTTGAGAACAATGGATTTGTAGTATAGCTTGGTATCTGGTATTGTGATTCCTCCCACATTGTTCTTCTTCTTCAAGATTGCTGCACTATTCAGTCTTTTTTTATTCCTGATGAATTTGTGGAATAAAAATTTTGGTCTCAGAAGTATGCCGTTGGTATTTTAATGGGGATTGCATTAAATTTATAGATTGCTTTGGGTAGTATGGAGATTTTAATGATGTTGATTCTACCAATTCATGAACATGATTTGTTCTTCCATTTGTTCATGTCTTCCTCTATCTCTTTTTTCAGTGTTCTGAAATTTTTTGAGTCAGGTCCTTTATCTCCTTGGTTAAGTTTATTCCTAGGTATTAAAAAAAAAAAAAAAATTGTGCCAAAACTGGTTTAGCTCAGTGGATAGTGTCGGTCTGCGGACTGAAAGATCCCAGGTTCGATTCCGGACAAGGGCATGTACATTGGTTGAGGGCACATCCCCAATAGGGGTGTGCAAAAGGCAGCTGGTCGATATTTCTCTCTCATCGATGTTTCTAGCTCTCTATCCTTCTCTCTTCCTCTCTGTAAAAAAATCAATAAAATATTTTTTAATAAATAAATAAATAAATAAATTTGTGGCAATGGTAAATGGGATTGCTTTTTTAATTTCTCTTTCTGTGAGTTCCTTATTGGTATGTAAAAAGCCATAGACTTCTGTGTGTTTATTTTATATCTTGCTACATTGCTGAATTCATTTATTAAGTCTAATAGTTTTTTGATGGAGTCTTTGGGGTTTTCTATGTACAATGTCATGTCATCTGCAAATAAGGACAGTTTTACTTCTTTTCTAATTTGGATGTCTTTTATTTCTTCTTCTTGTATTATTGCATTGGCTATATTTCCAGTACTATGTGGAACAGGAGTGGTGAGAGTGGGCATCCCTGTCTTCTGTCTGTTCTTAGTGGAAATGGTTTTAGTTTTTACCCATTGAGTACGATGTTGGCTATGGGTTTGTCATATCTGGATTTTTTTTATGTTGAGGTATGATCCTTCTCTTCCCACCTTGCTGAGGGTTTTTATCAAGAAAGGGTGTTGGATTTTGTCAAATGCTTTTTCTGCATCAATGGATATGATTATATGGTTTTTATCCCTCAGTTTGTTTATATGGTGTATCACACTTATTGATTTGCAAATATTGTACCATCCTTGCATCCCCAGAATAAATCCCACTTGGTAATGGTGTATGATTTTTCTAATGTAATGCTGGATTTGATTTACTAGAAATTTGTTGAGGAATTTGGCATCTATGTTCAGGAGAAACATTGGCCAGTAATTCTCTTTCTTTGTATTGTCTTTATCTGGTTTTGGGATTAGAGTAACTGTGGCTTTATAGAAAGAGCTTGGAAGTGCTCCTTCTCTTGAATTTTTTGGGATGGTCTGAGGAAGATAGGTTTTATTTCTTCTTTGAATGTTTTTATAAAATTCCCCTGTGAAGCCATCTGGTCCAGGGCTTTTGTTTGTTGGAAGATTTTTGATTACTGCTTCAATTTGCTTCATAGTTACTGGCCTATCCAGATTTTTTTTATTCCTCCCAGATGAGTTTTGGAAGGTCATATTTTTTTTAAGAATATGTCCATTTCTTTTAGATTCACCAGTTTGTTGGAGTAGAGTTGCTCATAGTATTTTTTTTTTTTTTACAGTACTTCATATTTCTGTGGGGTCTGCTGTTATTTCACCTCTTTGATTTCTGATTTTGTTTATTTGGGTCCTCTCTCTTCAATTCTTGGTGATCCTGGCTACAGGCTCATCAATCTTGTTTATCCTTTCAAAGAACCAGCTCTTGGTTTCATTGATCTTTTTTTTTTTTTTAATATATTTTATTGATTTTGTACAGAGAAGAAGGGAGAGAGATAGAGTTAGAAACATCGATGAGAGAGTCATCGATCAGCTGCCTCTTGCACACCCCCTACTGGGGATATGCCTGCAACCAAGGTACATGCCCTTGACCGGAATCGAACCCGGGAACCTTTAGTCCCCAAGCCGACGCTCTATCCATTGAGCCAAACCGGTTTCGGCTTCATTGATCTTTTGTTTTGTTTTTTTGTTTTTGTTTTTGTTTTTGTTTTTTGTCTCTATGTCATTTATTTCCACTCTGATCTTTATTATTTCCTTCCTTCTGCTCACTCTGGGCTTTTCTTGTTGCTCTCTTTCTAATTCTTCAAGTTACAGAGTTAGATGGTTTATTATCAGTTTTTCTTGTTTTTGGAGGTAGGTCTGTAATGCTATGATCTTCCCTCTCAGTACTGATTTCATTGTGTCCCAAAGATTTTGGATTATTGTATTTTCATTGTCATTTGTTTCAGGGATATGTTTTATTTCTTCTTTGATCTCTCTGGTAACCCACTCCTTGTTTAATAGTATGCTATTCAGCCTCCAAGTGTTTGAATTTTTGTGATTGTTTTTATTGTAGTTGATTACTAATTTTATGCCATTGGGATCTGAGAAGATGCTTGATATGATTTCAATCCTCTTGAATTTGGAGAGACTTTGCCTATCTCCCAAAAAGTGGTCTATCTTAGAAAATGTCCCATTTGCGCTTGAGAAGAATGTATATTCTGTAATTTTGGGGTGGGATGTTCTAAAGATGTTGATTAAGTCTATCTGATCTATTGAGTCATTTAGAATTGAAGTTTCTTTGCTAATTTTTTATCTAGAGGATTTATCAAGTTATGTTAATGGGGTATTAAAGTCTCTTATTATGATTGTGTTGCTGTCACTCTCACTCCTGATAACTTCCAGAAGTTTGTGTGTGTTTTTTAATGTATTTGGGTGTTCCTGCATTGGGTGCATAAATGTTTACCAGAGTTATATCCTCTTATTGTATCAATCCATTTAGAATTATGAAGTGGCCTTTCTTGTCTCTTATTATAGTCTTCACTTTGAGGTCTATTTTATCAGATATAAATATTGCTACCCTAGCTTTTTTTTTTTTTTTTTTTTTTTTTTTTTTTTTTTTCGTTTCCATTTGCCTGATAGATATTTTTCCATCCCTTCACTTTCAGTCTGTGTAAATCCCTTGCTCTGAGGTGGGTCTCCTGTAGACAGCATATATATACAATTTACAATAGCTAAGATTCGGAAACAGCTTAAATGCCCATCAGCATATGAGTGGATTAGAAAACTGTGGTATTATACATCTAAACTATGGGATACTATGCTGCTATATAAAAGAAAGAATTCTTACCATTTGCAACAACATGGATGGAACTGGAGAGCATTATGCTAAGTGAAATAAGCCAGTCAGTGAAAGAAAAATACCACATGATCTCACTCATTTATGAATAATAAAGAGCATTATAAACTGATGAACAAAAATAGATACAGAGGCAGAGAAGCATTGAATAGACTGTCAAACGACAGCGGAAAAGCTGGGGATGGTTGGGGGGCAGAGGGGGAGATAAGAGATCAACTGAAGGACTTGTGTACATGCATATAAGCATAACCAATGGATGCAAGATGTTGGGAGTGGGGTGAGGGCATGTGCCGGGGGGTAGGGGAGGCTGGGGGAAGGTCAATTGGGGGTGGGGGAAGGGGGAAGAAGGCATATGTACTACTAATTGTAATACTTTAAACAATAAAAGAAGAAATAAAAATGCCTATCAATGGATGAGAGCATACACAAAACGTGGTCTAGCTATATACAATGGGATATTATTCAAGACATAAAAAAGAAGGAAGCTCTGGTATATGGTACACTATGGATGGTTCTTGAAAGCATGCTCAGCTAAAGAAGCCAGACACAAAAAGCCACAGAGTATGTGTTGCCACAGGGTTTTTAAAAGCCTCAGATAACTGTGATGTCATATAAGCAAAGCTTTCGAACCACTGCCTTACACTCTACAATAAGAGATGTATGCCCAGGCCATGGAGAGAAGGTCAGAGAGAGAACTCTTTGGTTTCCAAACCTGCTTCAGGTCACCCTGAGCAACTTGGGCGGCCCACTTATTCTGCTAAGCTCATGTGACCTTCTCAGGCTGGAGTTGAGAGAAGAGCTAAGCCCTTTTTTAATTTCTTTTTCTTTGATCTGAGTCCTTGGTCAGAGGGAAGAAAAATAAGTGGACTCAGGAGTCTGAGAGAGCTGCCACTTTTGAGCCAACTTACTTCACTTTTCTAACCCTGTTTTCTCTATGCAGCCTCACAGTCATCAGCACAAAAGTTGCCATCCTTCAAAAGCTCGGAGTGGGTGCCTGAGAAACAAGAGCTGCTGGCCTAGGCTCCCCTTTCTATTGCAAGCTCAGTGGTTTGCAAAATGTTAATGCGTTCCGAAAGGGAAGGAACTCTTGGTAAACATGGGCGTCTTCCCTGATGGTGGCTGATAAAATCCCGTCCAACAAGATACCAACTAAGTCTTGTCTTGTCAGGTGCCCAGGGAGCCTGGAATGACAAGAAGTTGCCACGTCTTTCAGCAACACCGCCTCCTTTCATCACAATGAGTTCTCACTGCTGCAGCTCCACAGGCAGAGGGCGCCTCAGAGGTCAGGACGTGAGGTTCAAATGGAACCATGGGCTGGTGACACAAATGAAAACAGAGGCATTGAGCAAGGAAAGGGATCAATTGGTGCAAAGATGAGCTCATGCATGTGTCCAGAGGGTGCGCATGAACTCTTTGGGCAGATGGCCATTCTCTGGCAGTGTGGGAAAGCAGGGCACGCCTGTAAATTCACAGAAAAGTGGTGCCCAAGAAGCAAATGTATGCTCAATGAAGCATCTCCTCTCCCCTTCCTGCAGAACAATCAGAGCGGCTGAGCAGCTTGGGGACAGGGCACCCTCACCCACATTTGCTTGAGAAATAAGTTTCTCTCAGGTTTGGGGTGTCATTGCTGAATGTAATTGTGAACAGTGTCTTCCCTATCTATCTGGGCATCAATCTTTTACTGATTGAAATGCAATTTAGTATAAGGCAGTACTTTGAAAGCTTTGATGAGCCTCGCAGTCATCTGATGTTTCTAAAATTCCTGTAACACCACATACTACGTGGTCTTTTGTATCTGGCTCCTGTAGCTGAGCCTAACGCTTTCAAGATCCTCCAATAGTGCAGCATAGGCCCTACCCAGTTTGGCTCACTGGATAGGGCCTCAGCCTTCAGACCAAAGGATCTCGGGTTTGATTACGGTCAAAGGCACGTACCTCAGTTGCAGGCTCCTCCTTGGCCTGGGCCCTGATCAGGGCTCATGCAGGAGGCAACTAATCGATATGTGTCTCTCGCATCGATGGTTCTTTTTGTCTTTCCCTCTCTCTTCCACTCTCTAAAATTAGTGGGGGAGAAATATCCTCGGGTGAGGATTAAAAAATAATAATAGTGTAGCATGTATCAGAGCTTCATTCTTTTTTATATTTTGAATAATATCCCATTCTATGAATAGACCACATTTTTGTTTATGCATTTACCCATGGGTGCACATCTGGGTGCTCCCACATTTGGTTCTTGTGAATAAGAATAGGCCAATCTATAGGAACAGAATGAATCCAGACTAATATATGCTGTGCACAGCCTCAGCCCCAACTAAATCAGATCTCTAGTGATGGGAGCCAGGCATTAATTTTGTAAAACTCCCTCGGTGATTCCAATGTGCAGCCACGTTTGAGAACCAGTAGTATAAGGGAAAGGAGAAGCATCCCTGTAAGTTAAGCAGCTACACTTCCTAATTCTTAGTTTGAGTGCAATCTCCCCCAAGACCCACCCCAGCCATCCTGGTCGTTCTCCATCACCTCATCTTGTCCATTTCCATTTTAAACATGTGTCATCATCTGAATTATCTTATTCAGTTTTTCTCTGTCCCTTCTCACAAAACCAATGGTATTCTACCTTGCAGCACATTCAATCCATCTGGGTTCTTTTTTTTAAAAAAATACCACTGTCAGGACCCCATCTTGATTACTCAAATCAGAATCTTCTGGAAGAGGATCCAGGTATTTTGAAGAACACCCCAAGCAATTGCGTCGTGCAGCCATGGAAGAGAAGCACTGCCCTGATACCTGCTTTCATGAAGACCATGTGTCCACAGCTCCAAAAGCATGGATTCACCCAGAGCCTGTCCGATGGTCAGATGATGCTAGGTCACCTCACAGTAATCATTTTGCTTCATCCTCAGAACAGTTCTCAAAATAGGTTTTAACAGGGAAGGCGATTTTGGCTCAGAACAGTTCATTGGTTAGCCTGCAGCCAAACCACAATAAGAACGTAGTCCATTCTGCTTTCTGTGCTGGGCCAGGTCAAGGGAATTCCCCATGTTCTCAGAGCCCCCTATAGCCTTACCTCAGCACTGGTCACCTGAACCTCTAAGGGCTATCCGATCCCCCGTGAGAGCTCCATGAAGATAGCTCACTATAAGAAATAAAACAATCAAATTTCATCTAGTAATAAAAGTAGGCATCTATTGCATTAGCAATAATCAGTATAATTTATCAATTTAATTAGTTGATTAATAAACTTACAGTTGCTCCCATCCATGGAGAATCATTATTTTCTCCTTACCATTCTGGTTCATGCCCCACTAAGATTTCTTGAGCATCTCTTCTTGAGCCCCCCTTCCACACCCAAAACTTACGTTAGATGTTTCCACACTATAGTTGTAATGGCGGAGGTAGTATTATTCCCAGTTTATACCCACAGGGTTAGGGAACACAAGTGTCAATTCTGACAACACCAGGCATTTATGAGCCATGCCAAGTGCCAAGTAACCAACAGCTATAAATGTGTAAGTCAATGCAGAGATGCAGATTTGAAGAGAAACTGCCCCATCTGGTGCCTGAGTTACCTTGAAACAGAAGGAAGACTTGGGGGATGATAATGTCCCAGGTTTTGTTTGTTTGTTGGTTATTGTGGTAAAATAGACATAATATAAAAGTTACTATTTTTAAGTTTACAGTTCAGTGGCATGAAGTATGTTCACATTTTTGTATAACCATCACCACTGTCCACATACAGAACTTTTTTAAAAAATATATATTTTATTGATTTTTTTACAGAGAGGAACGGAGAGGGACAGAGAGTTAGAAACATCAATCAACTGCCTCCTGCACACTCCCTACTGGGTATGTGCCCACAACCTAGGTATAAGCCCTTGACCAGAATGGAACTTGGAACCCTTCAGTCCGCAGGTCGATGTTCTATCCACTGAGCCAAACTGGCTAGGGCCCTGTGGAACTGTTTTATCTTGCAAAACTGAAACTCTGTCCCCATGGAATAGTAACTCCCCATCCCCGTCCCCCAATTCCTAGCACTCACCATTCTACTTTCTCTCTTTAAGAATTTGGTTTAGAGGCCTCATATAAGTGGAATCAGACAACATATGTCCTTATGTGTCTGGCTTCTTTCACTTAGCATAATGTCCTCAAGGTTCATCTGTGTTGTAGTGTCAGAATGTCCTTCCTTTCTAAGGTTGAGTAATATTCATGGGTGGGCCACATTTTTCTGTCCACTCATCTGTCACTGGACACTTGGGTTGCTTCCACCTTTGGACCATTGTGAATAATGAGCTGCCATGAATACGAGTGTGCAAAAATATTTTCAATATTTGCTTTCAATGTTGGGGGTATAAAATAAACCCAGAAATGGAATAGTAATAACTTTATCAAATAGTAATTCTGTGTTTAAATTTTTGAGGAACCATCTTTACTGCTTCTCACGGTGGCCGCAGCATTTTATGGGAATGTTCCAGTTCTGCTGAATAGTTCACTTCTACATAGAAGCCCAAGCGAAATGAAAAGTTATGTCCACACAATGACTTATCTGCTAATGTTGATAGCAACATCATTCACAATAGCCAAAAGTTGGAAACAATCCAAATTTCTATATACAGATGGATAAATAAACAAAATGAGGTATATCTATTCGGAATATTATTTACCCATAAAGGAGTGACATACTGATATAAGCTACAACATGAATGAATCTTTAAAATATTATGCTGAAAGAAGTCAAACACTTAAGACCACAATTATATGATTCTATTCATGTGAAATGTCTGTAATAGGGAAATCTTATAGAGACAGGATATAGATTAGTGGTTGTCAGGGGCTGAGAGATTTGGTTTGTGATTGGGGGATATTATTAAAGGCACGGGTTTCTAAAAAAAAAAAAAAAAAAGTGGGGGGGGGCGGGCATGGGTTTCTTTTTGTAGTAATGAAAAGGTTCTAAAATAGACTGTGGTGGCCCTAACTGGTTTGGCTCAGCGGATAGAGCGTCAGCCTATGAACTCAAGGGTCCCAGGTTCAATCCCTGCCAAGGGCATGTACCTTGGCTTCGGGCACATCCCCAGTGGGGACTGTGCAAGAGGCAATTGATTCGATGTTTCTGGCTCTTCTCTCCCTCTCCTTTCCTCTCTGTAAAATCAATAAAAATATTTTTTAAATAAAATAAAATTGATCATGGTGGTGGTGGTTGCACAACTGTGAATATAGTAAACACACACACACACCACGTTGAACTGTACACTTCAAATAAGTGAATTGTATGATATGTGAATTTAATATTTTTAAAGCTGTTAAAATAAAATGAAGTGAAATAAAATAAAGGCTAAAAAAGAATAGAGGAGGAAGGTCATGAGGAAGAGAAGAGAAAAGCTGAATCAGCTGTGAAGTATGAGTTGAGGCCATTGGACTGGGCACAGGTTGGACCCTCCTGGATTTGAATGCCAACTGTGCTGATCACTGGTTGAGTGAGCTTAGGCGGTCATTTTACCTCTGTGAGTCTCAGTTTGCTTTTCTGGGGGGGGGAAAATGTGAGCAAACAATGCTGGTCTCTTCAGGTTGATGAATACTCGATGAGAGAATAAATAAGTGAAGTTGATATTATCTGCACGGTTGAATGTGGAAGCGGTGGAAGTGGGCATGATGATGGAAATGATGGGTTGATAACAGCCAAATGAGCTGGACCGGGGAGCGGGGCCAGGAGGAAACTGTTCTTGAGGGGGACGGGACTGGTGTAAGAGCCCTAGCTGGTGTGGATGCTCTGCCTCCGCCTCCTTAGACAGGGGGTGTTGGCTGAGCTCTGTCATCGCTCAATCTGTGGGCGTTTGTGTCCATTTCTTCATCAAGGGTGTGTCCCTTGTGTCGTGATGTTTCATGAGTGACAGAAAACTTACAGGCAATAAAGACCCAGGTAGCTCTGCTGCTCAATTTACAGACAGGCCCCTCCAGAGAAACCTGGGAAGAGTCTGCACTATCAGCTCCCTCTCTACAGTCAGCACGTGGGTCTGACCTTCTTTGGTGCCCAGCCTTGTTGGCAACTAAG